AAAGTAGTCAAAGGCTGGACGAGGACCGTGTAAATATTCTTGTAAGGACTCATCGTCTTCTGGTTGATCGGGACCATAGGAGTTGTCGGTGTCAATTGAAGCATCATCAGCATCATTGTAGTAGTAGTTGTTAGTAGCCTTAATAGCAGTAAGGGCAGTCGAGTCGTCAACATGTGCCGGAACCATGGCGTCAGTCATCACAGCTTGATCACGCATACTACGCGGTGGCGCCGAAGTCGGGACGTATGATGAGGACGAACCGCTTACGGTTTGTGGTCTAGTCGGTGGTCGGGGCGATTGAGTAATGATAGGCGGAGGATACGACGGACGAGGCGGACGGGAGCCATTGTTGGGAATGTCATTGGCACCTCGGGATCGACCCGCAGGGCCTCTTCTCGCTGTAACAGAGCAATAAGTCAAAACGTCCGAGACAATATCGATTTCAGAGACAAGGGCCAAAAGGGACAATGTTACGGCCCTAACGTGACGTAAAAGGTAGACAATACACGTGTGCAAATGTATAGCGCGGCGCACAAAAAGGCAAAAATCTAATGACGTCTTGCTAATGGTACATATGTCTGAGGATCAAATCTCACTCTTGGGTTTCTAGTCCGGTGTCCACGTCCTAGAGGTCGACCAGCCGTTTCAGAAGGGGCGGCTGTCTCAATAACATCTGCCGTTGCAGGAGCCTCAGCCGTTTCTTCACAGGGTGGTGACGTAGGGGGCGATGGGACAGCTGACGAGGAATCTGTAGAAGGCACCGATTGAAACTCGTTGTTGTCGGTGTTGTCGTCGGGTTGTAGGCATGAAGAACTAGAAGGGGTCTGGGCCGGCGAGGTCTCAACGCGTCCGTCGAGATCGCCTGCACTTCCCTCTTCTGGTAGATGAGGTTCACCACTGCGTGCAGTAGAGACATCATCCGGGGTCGCCGTACTTATCGTTTCCGACAGGGGTTCTTGTCTTGAGTTTCGTGGTTGTGGTTGTGGGAAGTCGACTTCAATCCATAATAAAGCATCAGGGTCGGGGGGTATCTCAGGGCCAGCCAGGGGGTCCATAGGGTAACCATCTCCTGGACTCACATTGTCTGTAATGACATCGGGTCGTACAGGGGGTTCAGGACCGGAGGCGTTGTTGAGATCGGGGTCGGGTAAGGGCGATCCAGCACGTAGTAGTGGATCTTGTCGCATAATACCAAGGGCGTCAGGAACGGCGTCGGGCTGAAGGGGGTCGATAGCGACATAATCAGCTGACAGAACACGAACTTGAAGCGTCTCTTGGTGCTTGAGCTTGAGAACCTTATTCTCTTGGCCAGGCATCTGACCAACCACAAACCAACCAGGGCTCCACTTAGGTTCAAGCTTATTTCCGGTTTGAGGGCCAAGACGTCGTACTAGTACACGTTGTCCAACATAGAATTGACGAGCAGTGGCCTTCTTGTCGTAGTAAGCTTGGGCTGCAGCAGAGGCGGAGGCGTGGGCGAGGTCAACAAGATCCTCAAGGTGGATCGAGAGGGCCTTGACGTACTCGTTATACCCAAATGGGTCGAATGAGAACTGATCAAGGGCCTGCAACGATGGCAAAAGACAGACTTCGGTTCACGACCGAACAT